CAATGGAAAACCCATAGCTAACAACACACTTGATGGTAAAAGACTGAAAGCTTTCCTCCTAAGATCTGAAACAGGATAAGGATATCCATTCTTGCCGCTTGTAGTCAACATTGTCCTAGAGATTCTAGCTAGAGCAGCTATGCAAGAATAAGAAATAAAAGTCATCTAGATTGGAAAGGAAGATGCAAAACTATCTCTAATTTCCAGTGACATGATCTTATATATAGAAAATCCTAAGGAATCCACACACAAAAAGTTGAAGTTAATAGACAAGCTCAGCAGGTTGCAGGACATGAGATCAATTGTACACTAGGATGAACAATCATTTCAAATAATTCATTTCAAAAAAGAAATTAAGAAAAAAATTTTATAAGAACATAAAAAATACTTAAGAATAACTTTAACAAAAGAAGTATAAGACTCATATGCTGAAAATTACACAACATTGTTCAAAGAATTTAAAGGCCTAAAGAAATCGAAAAATATTGTGTTCATCACTAGAAGATTTAATATTGTTAAGATGGCAATAGTCCCCAAATTGATCTATGGATTCAACGCAATCTCTGTTAAAATCCCTTCTGGAATTTAAAAAAAATTGATCCTAAAATATGTATGGAAGTATAAGGGACCCCAATAGCCAAAATGGTTTTGAAAAAAAGAACAAAGTTGGAGGACTCAAAGGTGTCAAAACTTCCTACAAAGCAAAAGTAAACAGAGATTGTGGTACTAACATAAGGATAGGCATATAAATCAATGGAAGAGGATTGGATGTACAGACATAAATCCCCACATTTTTCATAAACTAGGGTGCCAAGACAATGGAGAAAGAATAGCCTTCAGTAGGTGGTACTGGGACAACTGGATGCAAAAGAATAAATTCGATCCCTGTCTCATACTATATTCAGATAACTTAAATATATTAAATACCTAAATGTAAGAGCTAAAACTATAAAGACTTTAGTAGAAAACATAAGTGTATATTTTTGTACCTTGGATTAGGTAGTAGTTTCTTAGATATGACACCTAAATTATAAGCAACAAAAGAAAAAAATAGATAAATTAGACTTGATCAAAATTAAAAATGTCTGTATTTCAAAGGACACCGTCAAGAAAGTATAAAGACAGCCCACAGAATGGGAGAAAATATTTGCAAATCATATATCTGATAAGAATCTAGTATCCAGAATATATAAAGAACTCTTACAACTTCAATAATAAGAAAAACAACCCAAGTGAACAAATAATTTGAATACATTTCTCCAAAAAAGATATACAAATAGCTAATAAGCATACAAAAAGATATTTAACACCATTGGTCATTAGGGAAATGGAACAATAAGACACCATTTCATGCCCACTAAAATAAAAAAGATGGACAATAATAAATATTGGGGTAAGATGTGGAGAAATTGGAGAATTGGTGAAATTTGGAACTCTGGTAAAATATAAAATGATAACACCACTTTGGCAGTTTTTCTAAAGGTTAAACATAGAGTTACTATATAACCTAGCAATACCATGTTCACACAAAAACTTCTATATGAATGTTCTTAGCATCATTATTCATAATAGCCAAAAATAGAAACAATTCAAATGTCTATCATAGTGATGAATAGATTTTTTAAAAGTAGTATATGTATACAATGGGTTATTATTCAGGCATACAAAGTAAGGACATACTGATACATGCTACAGCGTGGGTGAACTTTGAGAACATTGTGCTAAGTGAAAGCAGCCAGGCATATTTAGACCATATATTATATGATTCCATGTATATGAAATGTCCAGAATAGGTAAGTTTATAGAAAGTAGATTAGTGCTTTCCTGGTGTGGGATGATGGGGAATGACAACTATCGACTACAGGGTTTCATCTTGGAGTAATGAAAATATTGTGAAATTTAGTTGGTGGTGTTAGTTTCCCATTTTGTGAATATAGTAAATACCACTGAGTAATATACCTTAAAATGGTAAATTTTATGGTATGAGAATTATACCTCAATAAAAGGAAAAGTAAATTATTTTAAACTAGTAAAATCATCATTTGATCACATTTGGAGATTGCAATGGCATGAACTCATTCTGAAAACTATAAATATATGGAAATAATTCTTTACTAACAAGGTAATCAAATCAAATAGCTGATAAGCAAAAGCTTTTTTTACAAAATAGTTTTTCTGAGAATGTAAGAAATTAATGTAGAAGGCCTGATACAATAATTGATTTTGTTACACCTACTGTGTATGTGTATTGTGTTACACCTACTGTGAATCATCATGATTGGCTGTTAATGAGGGCACTTTATGATGGATGTTTTAGTTCAGTGGTTTCCAACCTTTTTGGCACCAGGGATGGTGGTTCATGGAAGACAATTTTTCCACGAACTGGGGCGGGGGGTTTGTGCGGGGGAAGGATGGTTCAAGTGCATTACATTTACTGTGCAGTCAAACCTCTCTGCTATCATTATCAGCCACTCAGCACTAGCATCTCCGCCTCAGCTCCACCTCCGATCATCAGGCATTAGATTGTTCATAACAAATGTGCAACCTAGATCCTTCCCATGCACAGTTTACTATAGGATTCGAGCTCCTATGAGAGTCAAATACCACCACTGATGTGACAGGAGGTGGAGCTTATCTGGTGATGCAAAACAATGGGGAGTGGCTGTAAATATAGATGAAGCTTCACTAGCTCTCCCACAGCTCACCTCCTGCTGCGTGGGCCCAGTTCCTAGCGGGCCACAGACTGTTACCGATCTGTTGGCCCAGGGGTTGGGAACCACTGTCTTCGTCCATTTGAGCTGCTATAACAAAATGCCACAAGCTGAGTGACTTATAAGCAACAGAAATTTATTTCTCATAGTTCTGAAGGGTGGGAAGTACAATATTAAGGTGCTGGCAGATTCAGTATCTGGTGAGCGCCCACTTTCTGATTCCTAGAGGGTGCCTTCTTGCTGTGTCCTCATATGGTAGACTGGGTGAGGGGTCTCTCAGATCTCTTATATGGGCACTAATCCCATTCATGAGGGCTCTGGTCTCCTGAACTGATCATGTCCCAAAGGCCCTTGCTTCTAATACTATCACCTTGAGGGTTAGGATATCAATGTCTGAATTTTAGGGGGGCACAAACATTTAGACCATATCAGGATGGATCAGACTGATAGTGCTGGACCCCAATGATCCATATTAATATTACTATTAATAAAAGAATATGTGTCTTCTGCCTCCAGCAGAAGGAGTTTTGTTTCTAGGGGACACCCTTTCACTTTGTAAAACAGTCTTCTACAGTTTTCTTTAAGGTGTGCATTTCTCAAAATCTCCAGGCAATTCTATTTTAACTTTACTACATCTAGCAGTCTTTGTCAGACAGTGTGGGTTAGGGCAAGATGGAGTTTGTGTTTCTGGTTTTCTTTTTTTGTTGGGGGGGTGATGGTGGTGGTGGTGGTGGTGATGTGTGAGATTTCTGAGAGGCGGCAAGGTCCCAGATGTCTTTTACTAGGTCATCTTAGAAGAGTGTTTGGAAACTATTTCAATTAAGTAAGAGATAATCAAGACCCGAGCTAGCGAAGAGGTGACAATGATAAAGTAACAAGATGGATTGATTTATCGTTTGGGGATATTAGGAAGGACACGCATTAGGGACTCCATTAATATTTGTTGAGTATTGAATGAGCATAAGTAGATCCACCCAGTTTTAGGATTTCATTGCAATTCTGGTATGAATTGTGCTAGTATATCTGTAAAGTTCACTTTTAGGGTCTCCCTGGATGAACTGAGTCAGTTCTAGACCTCTAGAGGAGAAACTGCAAACTAGCGGCCATCACAGTTTGATTTGGTCTTTGTAGTGGTGTTTTTTTTTTTTCTTTAATTTGTTGCTGACATTTCAAAATAGTGAGATTTCACATAAAAATCAGAGTTTCTGGCTTGTATTGAAAAAGGAAAAGATCTGGCAACAATGGGTTTATATTTCTTCATGGCTGCAACTCAGCTGATGCTGAATAGTTATTGCATTAAACACAGTCCACTGCTGCCTCTGTCGCTCACTGGTCTTTGTGGGCATTTGAGTTTGTGACCCTTATTGCATTGCTTTCAGGAAGCTGTTTTCTAAGTCATACATTGTTATTTTTAATAACCTGTCTTCTTATATTATTTAACAGACCATATGGTATGGCACCTACCTAATTAGAGTATAAACTCAGTGATGGCAGTAAGTGTGTGTCTTCCATTTCTGGATATTCTCCATGATGCTGTAGGGGAAGTCAGTACATACTTACACGTCTCTACTCTGATTTGAAATTGAATAGGCCCGTGTAATTGAAAAGGCCCAATAATGCCATGACATTCAAGACATTTTTATGATATTCCAAAGCATACTGACACATTGATCTCCTTGGAGAAATGATTGATGTTTGTTAATGATAATTCTTACCTCTATTATATTTATTAATCAGTTATCTCAGATAATTTAAGGGTTAAAATTACTTGCTTTGGTTACTGACATTGTGAGGTTGATAAACAACATTTTGGGGATATTAACTATTTTCTTGGCCGTATTAATTACATGGATTCTTTGAACTTAGGTTTTATAAGTATTTTCTCATAGGTAAAAATGATTATAATAAATGGAAAGAACTGATATCTTTACTGGGATATTCATTGTCAGGAAGGATATGGAAAAATTAATTTTTTTTTAAAAAGTGTTATTTGATGATACAAGTATAAAGACATAATGAGAATAGTTGATGGTAATATTAGAAATATAGGAAAAAGCTGTGTTGTGTTCCTCTGGTTAGATTGTAGAGCTTAATTTAAGAGGAAGTCTTTGAGTCACTTATCAAGTTTTTTTGAAAGTTGTCTTTTTTTATTAACACAAACTATATTTTCTTTAGCCTTACACTAGCCAGTTGGGTAATGATTTTGAGTATCTAGTTTGAACGTTGTAAATGTTGGTTTCATGCCATGAATATTTCTTAACCCTTATTGTATGTTTATTTTCACATTAGGTGAGAAATTCATCCACACTTCTCTTTAGTACCTTAATCACAAGAATTTTTGGAGTAAAAAAGGGAAAGGATGAACTTTCCAAAACAAATAGGTAAGCTCCATCTAATGCTAACTTTGCTTTTTACACAATATTGTCCTGGCCAAAAATAATTTTTGAAATTGTGCTTACTTTCATAGATTCATCTAGAGCATAAAACTATAAAAATACTATAATGAATTAACCTATGCTGCCAAATTCTAAGCCCTTGGGCAAAAATACCAATTGTTTAATAAGTGGACCTTTCAAAGCAACAATAATTAGCAAGGTAGCAAGGGCTGAAATGTAGAGCTTGTTTTTCAGTGCAATAGTGAAAGTTTTTTTCCTTTGCATCTTCAAGTAATCCTGAAATGTCCTAAGTTACTTTTTCATGATGTGTCATCAGGTTCTAGCTTGTGCAATATATTTAGTGTTATGGGTGGAAATTTAAATATTTATGATATACTCATTAAAATGTGTCCTAGATTAACTTTGCATTAAACTCTGGTTTAATGCAATTAAACCAGAGCAGTTACAGATGTTGATCACAAGGAATAAATAATGCTTTTTACTTTTTGGTCTTTAGTTTTATGTTTACTTTCTAAGATATTTTCCTCTTAACAAGGTTCTTTTAATGTCTGTAAGGAAACTTATAGAACCATTTTGATTATGGGTAATTTTTAGATATAATTCACAAGTTTTATTTGTTTTTACAGGGAAGCTTTGAATTATTTTTTAGTGCTGAAGATGATTTAATGGTAGTCTAATTGGCTTGCAGTTTTTAACACTAGATGTCACTGTTGCTGCATGTTTAATTACTTCCTTAACTTCATTTAGGATCCAGTTTGGCTCAGTGGCTTTTGAGGATTCAGAGATAAATTCAGGCCCTATTCATCTCCTGTCTAAAAAAATTATTATGCTTCATATTTAAGTTTTAAGCTGTTGTTAATTAAAATGTATTTTCTTTTGATGAAACTAAATCTTAGTAATTAAAAAATATCATGAAATCATTTTATGATGTACTGGTGATAAGTTTAATGAAACATACTGTGGTAGTTCTGAATTATCATTTAAATTACTACTTATCACTCTATAAAAATTCACCAGATATTTAAAAGGAAGGTAATGGCTATGGCTATAAGTAGGAATACCCTGAATAGGTTCAGGGAATACCAGAGAGCCTTTTTTTTTTTTAACTGAGTAATATATTTTTTTAATTTTAGCATATTGTGGGGGTACAAGTGTTAAAGTTACGTATATTGCCCATATCCCCCTCCCCCCTCGAGTAAGAGCTTCAGGCGTGTCCATCCCCCAAACGTTGCACATCTTATAACTGAGTAATATTTTTAAAATAAAGAAAACATTACTCCTTTTGAAGGATGATTACAATTTTTATTTTTTATCTTGCTCTTAAATTCTTCCTGTCAGTAATTTGAAATCACCAGTATTTTTTTCTCCTTAGCTTTATCTGTTTTGTTAATAATTCTACAATGTGCTAGGGTTTAAAACAATTGGGTCATGTTATAAGGCCATGATAAATACTGATATAAATAAAATAATATATTAAGTCATCAAACAAGTGAAATTAATGTATAAAACTGAACTTGAAAATGAAGAAATGGCTTTTTTTAGTTTTTATGAGGTAATTCTTGGAGATATATATATATATATATATATAACTTGTGAGTTACTTTATGTAGGAGAAAGTGATCAGATTTATTTAATTTGGATTACATCTGAAGGAGAGTGGAAGAATAGGGCAGTGGTACAACACAGTTTTAATCTTTTGCCAAAGTCATGGTGATGGAGAAAACTTCCTTATAAATTTATTCCTTTTGCATGTAAGAAAGGTTATGAAATATATTAATATAAGTTTCCTAGAAAGAAATGGAATATTTGTATAATTGTTTTGAGTAAAGTTGAAAAGTGAAATGAAGGAATGAAGTTAATAATTATTTTTAAATGTGATAAACTATTTGGTAAGGGCCTTTACTTCAATAATCTGAAGATTGATATATACCATTATGTATGCAAGGCTTCTGTTCTCTGTTTAACCCTTGAAACGTATATTTCTTGGCAGCTCCTATTAGATTTTCTCTGCAAAACCTTTAGTGTCTTAAATTTGCAGTTATTTGTGATGGTTCTTGAAGTTGTAGTTTGTTTAATTATGTCACTTTTTGCTGAAATGTTTATGCCTGTGCCCTATAATATTAACTACCCAAGGGCAGGACCTTTTCCATATATTCTGTGTATATAAAGGGCACTTTAAGAATGCTAGTAATAATGATGTCTTGTTGGTTGGTTTCTTAAACATCAAATAACTAACCTCAGCTGATGACACCTCACAAGTCAGTTAAATTTACTTTCAGAACCACAGATTGTCTTACCCACAATCCTGGAAATGTGTGCTTTTGGTCAGAAGGGACTGGACATAAAAAGAACATCTGCTTTTTCCATCTAGTAGGGAAAAAAATGTCTATCTTGGAGTAAACAAACTTGGTTTCTAGGCATTTTGCTGCCACTGGAGATGACCTTAATAGACTCCCTTATCCGCTTTGTACTTCAATTTCTCCATCTATATAACAAGAATAATAAGATCTATGCTCTGTACTCATAGGGATATTGTTACGACAAAGCAAACTGTTAGAGGTTCAGTTTTTTGAAATTATTGGAAGTCCTAGGTGATTAGAGAGAGAGTTTGTTTTCTCTCTCTGTTACCACTTCTGTGATTGTACTCATCCAGCTGTCTTGCTCTTAAGACTGTGCTTTTTGAGGAAAGGGTCACTATCTTATCCATTTTTGTGTATCTGGTACCTACCATAGTGTCTGGCATGTAGGAGGTGTGTAGAAATAATTGCCTAACAAATAAGTAAATTTTGTTGCTAGAGGAGAGACAGGGAATCTGGTTTCTACTCCTGCCTTTATTGCCATATAGCCATGATAACCAACTGAGACAAAGTAGTTCACCTCTCTGTAAAATAAGAGGTTTGGACTCTTCCTGGGATCTTTTCCCTCTGTAAAATACTAAGCTAAGGCTTCACATAACGTTACTGGAATTGTGAGTTTGATAAAATGCTGTGTTCTGAGTGCCTGCCACATAGTAGGGACGAGAAGTTCCTGTTTCATATATAAAGAAAGGAGCAGAGGATCTATCTCCCTGTTTATGAGTAGAGTGCACTGTAATGATTGAATTTTGAGCCCATCAGTCTCATTTCAGATTCATTTTTTGGATTATGAAGAAAGAGAAAACACAAGTTTTACTTGTGTGTTTTTAAATAATGTGTGTTTACTTGTGTGTTTTTAAATACTTGTGTGTTTTTAAATAAAACATTTTAATTTTCTAATACTCCTTTCCTTTCTATTTATTGTTGCCTGACTCACTTGACCTGACAGATGAGTAATTGATCCTGTGTAAAATCAGAACCAACAGACCTCTCTGACCTGGGGAATGTGTTACACTTTCTAAAAATGTCTCCATCTGCATGTGAGTGGGCTCACCTTGGTAGCTCCTCATTTCTTATAGCGCAGCAGCTAAACCCATATGGTCTTTAACTGTAGGTCTTTCCCTTTAGCACCTATGTCTGTTGACCTCAACTGTGCTAGTCCCAGCTAAATGACACGTGTCAATACATAGCAATCTGCAAAGCTTTATTTTTGACTTGTTGGAGTGTCTGCCTTGTCAAAACTTCATATAGGTCCTCAGTGTGCACTGTTATATAGCTTTTGTACTCTCCCTTCATTTTAAATCAATCAGTGAACCAATAAGAACTTGAAAGCACTTATCATGAACTCAGTATTGACATGGTAGAGGAGTACAAGAGGAGTATGAAATTTGGACCTTATTCAAAGATCTTACAGTTCAGCTAGGGAGACAAAAATTGTTATTTGTAAATCAGTAAAAATAGAGATACCATATAATAATCACATGCACAATGTGTTATGAGTAATGAATGCATTAGAACTTTATCAATGGGAGAATTAAGTGGAGTATTTGGGAGAAAGTAGTATTTCCTGTGGGGATGAGTAGATTGGGGGTACATGGAAACAGGTAGCTTGAAAAAGAGAATCTAAAAAATAGTAATCTTATTTACTGTGTTGTTAAGCACAGTCTCTTGTGTCTTATTAAAGAGAGCTCATATTCAAATTAATAATTTAGGATGGTTTAATACAATTAACAAGAAAATGTTAAAGCATCACTAAGTCTGAGTAAAATTATTTTTAATAACTATATTAGGAGATGTTAAATTATATTTATTTTATTTTCCTGGGTATAAATGACAGAGAATTGTTTTAGTTAATTTTCTTAACATTCGGTGAAGGTCTAGAACGATCCTCTAACGGGCATCTAATCCAGTCCAGCATCCTGCTTATAGACAGATTTTGAAGTAATTTCCAGACAGACTGGCTTCTCTCCTGTTTTTCATGTTTTCTAGGAAAAGAGATTCCACAAGTTTCTGTGGTTACCCACTCCATTGTTTAGGAAAGAATTGGGTTCTCAAAACTAAAATTGAGAGCTGCAGGGCAATTGGGTTTTTATGTTTTAGAGAATGTAATTATTAGAATTCAAAATATCTTATTTGCTTTGAACTACATAGTAGCTCATAGCAAGTACCTATTCAGCCAAATTGAAAATCAGAATTTTCTTTGACTATGGCCAGGATAATATTAACATCCTCAAACCCAAAGAATTTTCATTTTCTCCATTTAACCAGCATTTATTATGTTTTTACTCTGGGCCAGGCCCTCTGCTGGTTCCTGGAATCCAAAGATGAATCAGAAATACTCTGCCCTAGGGGAACTCCCCGTATGATGAGGAATGAGTCAGTTATCTGTGGTGTTGAAGTCTCTGTTAACACTTGTGTAGAAGTAAGGGGGAAATTGTGAAGGGAAGTAGCATTTCTTTAGTGCTCATTTGCCTGCTTGGCATATGCTGGACCCTTTGTACATGTCTAATTTAACCTGAATTGCGGCTCTGGGAGGTAGGTAGTGTCATCCGGCTACACTAAATCTAGTGAGATTTAGTTATTTGCTTGTGGTATACAGTCAGAAAAAGGCAGAACTAGAACACCAGTCGA